TTCTGTAATTTAATATTTCAAAACCTACTTTGATAATACTCAACTATTCAATACATATTAAATATTATGATTGATATTATTACTAGTGCTTATTGTTAATATATTGATTACTGTATTTACACTAGAAAAGAACAGAGTTTTAAACTTCATTTTATATCATATTGTGTACAGTATCATTATTGTCAGATACAAGTGAACAGAATAATGTAACTATTTTTTACTTAATAATAATTAAACAGCTTATTACCTAGCGATATGTGACACATACACTATTATCCAAAAGTTTAATCATACTCAGATTAAAAAAATAAAAAATTATAGATATTTAATACTAGCTTTCTCTATTTACATTGTTCAAATGTTTCTAACTAAAACATTCAAGTAAGGATAAAAGAGTTAGAATGTTGAATTATATTATTTATATTTTTAATATTGATAGATTTGTTTAGAAAATTGTTCAAAGCAGTAGTTATTACATCGTTGGATATGGGAAATAGAATTAAATATACCGGATGTTCGTTTTAACTGGAAACGGTAGAAGATCGTAAAATCATGAGGCAATGAATGATGTTTAAAGTTTAGTGGCCTGGTCAAGTATGGTTTTCGCACGCAACATGCGTTACTTGATTTCGTAGGTTTTCACAATTTTACAATTTTTCTTAAAACGAAATGACTTATTGTTGTACTTTGTTGACATCATTTTAACGAACGCTATAATATTATCTGTAAAAAATATAGCATTCTACTCAAAAAAGTTGTCACAAGATTAACTTTTTGGGTAATAGTGTATAAGAATCATTAGTACTCACTTATAAATATTTCCTCGATCTCGGTAGAAGTTGTTTAATTAATTTTACTTAAATCTTAAATGTATAATTTTAATGAAGACTAATTCAAGTATGTGGTCTTAAACTGAGATCTATATTTCCTTAAATCTTATATCATAAATGCAATAAATATATATTTTATAATAATACTCATACAGATAAGATACTATAAATGGGTTGTTTTGGTGGTTAAAATATTTGAGAAACAGTACATTTTTTAATAATAATATAAATATCAACTTACTACATATTTTTCTTGCATAAAACATATATTGTTTCTTTATGTTTTTGTTTGTTTTATAGAATTTAAATATAATCTAGTTTTTCTTTAATTAATTCTAATATGGGTTATGAATATTTCTACAATAAACCCTGGTAACATAATTTTTTATGCTTTCAGTAATTAATTGGAATGCAGTCCTTTTTGCCTGAAAGTGTTATTACTATACAAAAGTAAAATACTAGTTCATTTTATGATAGTTGTAATGCATAACTATTATCATTTTTTGATGCTTTATAATTTCAAAAATTAAAAAAAAAGAAATAGACAACAAATGTGGTATGACATTTTGTGCGTTATGTTATATTAACTGGTTTTAAAGTTCACTGTAAATATCATCTATTTGTCTACAAATCAAGGAGTTTTTATATGCATTTGCCTTGTAATAAATTTATCTAGATGTACTTGTGTTATTGAACATTTTTTTTCTTAAATCTTAGAATGAAGTTATAAAAAAGTTAAATGAAAATTTAAATTCAGAAATATTATGTATCAATATACCAAGCGTTTTAAAAATAGATATTATAGTATATTATATTTGATTGAATGATGTTTAAAATATTGATTGTCAGCCTTTATCTACAGTGTTCTCAAATTTTTCTCTGAAAATGTACTACTATAGAAAATTAAAAAATTGTAACATTTAATAATAATGTTCTGATATGTTATAATAGTTGAATTCTATTTCATGTTAAAATCTCCATTTCGCTTGATTTAATGATACATGAACAAAATTTAATTAAAATCTAAGATTCAAATATGTTCAAAGTAAAAAGTAAAATAGAAAATGGATATGTGAAAAGTATGGATAAATATTATTATGGACATTCCATTGTACGACATTTTCTGTACTCTACCAAAGCAGGGCATAATTTGCCCCTTGGGCCAAAGGGTTGAATTTTTACTGTTCTGGTTCTGTGCTGGTATGATTCTCCGCAAGAGGGTGTACAACGTGACCAATTGGACCATTGAGTCATCTTGCAGTCAATTGAAACTAATTTTACCAATGATACATTTTAACATCGCCATATTTTTTAAATTAATTAAGAATACTATATACATTATGCATTATAATAACAATGTCAGTTCATGAAATTGTTATTACTTAACGATTGTTAGGTTACTTATTATTATATTATAATTTTATTGT